TATTTGTTATATTTTTTAATTTTTATCTTTATTTAATTAAAAATAAGAATAACACTCCAAAAATATTTTAAATTTAAAAGAATTCTAAATATTTTTTTTAATGCTTCATTTTACTTCAACTATGAATTTGTTTTTGTTTTCTCTTGTTAAATTCAGTAATTAATTTAATTTGAGCTAGTCATAATATTAATTACTTTAGACGGATTTAAATACTTTTTAATTAAAAAAACATGTTTGATAAAAAAATATCATTATATCTTGCCTTTTAATTTTTAATGATTAAGATGCGATTCTCTTACGGCTTAATTTTTACTTTGTAGAGCCCATGGATGGCCCAAGTATTGGAAACCCTGAAATAAAAAATTTTAAATTTTATAATCTATTAGATTACACTAATTCAAAAAATCACGTGAATTGTGTTGAATCCTAATTCAATTCTGCCGCGGTCACACAACAAGGAATGATTTAGTTAATTTTTTAAGATAAAAACAAGTACCTATCACAGAGTAACACTTTGAGCGTGCGATTGAAATTCGAACTTAATGATGATGTAAATTGATGAAATTAAAAGTTTAGCGTAACGACTCAAGCTTACCGTTAGAAGATATTGTCCACTTTGGCTCGTTGCGTTTCGCTGTCAGTCTTCAATTTTATTCCACACCCTTATAAGGAATGTTGTTCCTCTCTCCAACCGATGTAGAATCTCGCGGGTCAAAACCCTACTTTATAACCGTACAAACAAGGAATTTTGTGGTTATGAGGAATGTTTGTATTGACCTAGTAACAGTAGAATATTGTGGTTAAAATCTAGTAGGGTTTTGAAACTTATGAGCAAAAGGATCCAGAATCTACAGTACTTATGGTCATAAATATGCTCAAAATGAAAAGCGTATAAAAACAAATATCAACATACAAAACTAAATCACGTGCACATAATATTTGACATGAAAACTCATTTCAAAGCATTTCTGGGACCATGGAGTGTAAAACAAAGATATGAAACGAATGTATTATTCACCATATTTTCTATTTCAATGTAAACAGACGCAGAGTTAACAAAATCCTGTGCAAAGCAGCAAGAGGCAGTACAAATTCCATTAAAGAAGTTGTAGTTATGAATCTATGAAACCCCAAAAAAGAGAGAGAAGATTTACAGCAAAATGGGGTTGAAATTTTGAGCTGCAAGAGAGGAAAAATTACAAGATGATGATGACAAGAACTCTACAACAACAAAGAGCAGTCTTTTTTACACAGGGAAGAAGGATAAGCAAGCGAGAATAGGGAAAACGTATGAATTTGTGTTGGTTATTGGCCTTTAGGGGGTTTCTTGTTGTATTGTTGTAATTATTAAGTTCTTCACAGCAAGACTTGGGAACAGTGCCTTCTCAGATGTGTCCAATAGACAAGTCCAACATGAAACAAAACAAGGCCTTCAGAAACCCTAAAAGAATATAATATGGAGAGGAGGGGGGGGGGGGGGGCTTTGNGGTGCTTTGAGAATCATCCACTTCCTAAAGGGTGTTTTTATAAATCTAAATGTCAAATACAGCTCCCTTATATAATGATGTTTTATTCTATGCTTTCTGTCTCAAAGGACTTGGGGTTACCTTTTTGTGCCAACCCCCCATCAGACAATCAAATGGACACTGCCCTGTTTATGTTATTTCTTTATTATTTCCCTGAGGAAACCTATGATGCTTGTTTCCCTCTGACTTTTCTTCCTGCTCACAAACATCCTTCTAATTTTCAAATGTTTTTTAATGCATTTATCGTCTTCTGCTTCACCTTTTCCCCCTAAATGCATAAAGTTCTGTCTATTTTGTTTTTAGTTTTCCAGCATCCATTTCCCGAGTATGATGAGTATATATCACTGTTTAAAATGATACCCATTTGAAAAAACTGTACGCTTTGTAATAGAAATGACCCATCCAACAAGATTCACAATTATATGTTTAGTGCTAACCTATATAGATATCTCAAGCGAAAACAATGCATAACATACCTCTATGATCATTGTCAACACGTTTTTCATAGTCTAAAAGTTCCACCCCTGCCCCCCGGGTGTGTGTCTCTGGCCTGCCTATCCCTGTGTGTGAAAAGTTGAAACTCATTATATCTCTCTCTTCTAGAGAGGGACAGAGAATGATATGACTAAGGAACGAAAGTGAGCACAGCCTTAAGTCTAACATGCCATCTACTTAAAATCTGCATCAATAAAACAGTGACTCTCTTCTAGAGTCCCTGATGTGAGATTGTGGATTACGATGGATAAGCCTTCCCTAAATCATGGGGAAGAAAAATGGATGATTAAACTAATTGAAGTGATTTAGAGAGAATTATGTGACAATTAAGGATCATGTAGTTAATAACATGTCACAAATTTAAATTTAACACACAGATATATTACTTAATGATAGACTTTTTCTCAAACTACATAGATTGAAATTTCATGAGCTTTTTAAAATGGAAGTGACTTAATACATGAAAACTAAAATGGAAAATTACCTCTCAAATTGTTAAGAGAAATGCACTCTTTAACTACAACTTGGAGACATGATAAAAAATTTCAACAAACATTTCCTGTTTCATTTGCAATTATTTTCAAGAACACTTTTTCAGACATCTTTGTAATTTATTATAATTGCAAGACTAATTACAATCATAATCAAGATGCATTGCACATATTATCTGTCATGACATCATTAAGATATAAAAATCCCTAATTTGATATGGCAGCATATGGAAATTGGTGGTTCAGGAACAGATCCAATGAACAATGTATAGGCATGGTCCACACTCCACACACTGAAGTTAAGAAAAGATAGGCATAAGAACAGACTTTAAGACAGTAACATATCCATGCACAGGTGATTCCAATTACAAGGGCTACTCCTCCTTTGAAGACTGGTACCCAAATCACAACGGACACATGCCCAAAGTCTTGGAATGTGCACACACTAAATTCAACTGCAGCTTGAGCTTCTGCTAAGCTAAGCAACAAGACAGTTCTTTCTTTAATTTTTTTTTGAAAAATGAAACCAATGAAAGAGAAAGTTGAACAGCATTGCATTCATTTGCATTGGTTTTGAGTTTGTTTTTTTTTTTTTTTTTTTGGTTTGGATCTTCTTCCTTGGCCCCATCTCCTCCCTCCTCGATACCCCCTCTCTCAATCCTTCACACAGACATTTTCACAAACACGCGGAGTTCGAGACGCACAGCAAGACAAATCCTATCTTAGACTTTTTCTCCTTGTTAATGAATTTCCACCAGATGGAGTTCTCTCTCTCCCTCTTTCTATCTCTCAATCTAGGGTCAATTCCATATATATCAAACAGGCAGAGGGTTTCAAGTTTCACCTACCAAATTCCTGATTATTCTAGGGCTAAAACATAACAATGCAGAAGAATCACATACCAGAGCCGAACGAGAAGAGGCGGAAGTTCTTAATCAACGACAATCTCGACATTCTTATCGAAATCCTCAAGCGGCTGGACGGACCATCGCTCGGCATCGCGACCTGCGTCTGTCGGCTCTGGTGCACCATCGCTCGAAGCGAATCGGTTTGGGAACAGGTCTGCTTCCGGCACGTAACATCGCCGCTTCCAGCGTCTGTGAAATCGGTGGTGGTCGCCTTGGGAGGGTACAAGCGGCTGTACATGGTGAGCATACGGCCGGTGCTGAGTCGACTCGGCTACTCAGACCTAATGAGGCGAGTTTGGACTCAGAACGAAGTTCAACTTTCACTGTCTCTGTTCTGCGTGGATTACTACGAGCGGCTCACCGGAAATGGAAGACTCGGCGGCGGCGGCGATGCGTCCGCATTGTCACTCATGTTCCTCTGCAACACCGTCAACGTCTGATTCATTTCAATGACTTTTTCCGACGCTTTCTCCGGCGTCAGAACGGTAGACCAATCCATATAAGAAACCAAGCTGGCTCCGGTGATCTTTTGTCAGATGGATTAAGAACAGCTTTAGCCTGGTATGATTATGATTATTATTCCAATTATACGTCGATTTTATTAAATAAAAAATCAGACCCATTATTTTCTATATTTTCATAATTATGTTCTTCTTTTATTTATTTATTTATTTATTATTTCTTGTAACAAATAATTTATATATATGTAATATTAGAGTCTTATTTACACTAATCATGTTGATGCTTTATTTTATTTATTTTAGTCCATTTTGTGTCCTCTAATTCTTCTTATTCATTTTAGAGATAAAATAAAAGTTAAAAATATTATTCTAAAATCGGGTGGAAATAAAAGGAAAATTTTAAAAAATGAATGTGTTCGTGTTGGTTTTGTCTGTGGGCTGGCTAGAAAAAGTGATTAGGACAAGACGGTGGTCCTTATGTATTATCATCAATCTCATAATTTGATCCTATGATCCTAATCGAAATGCATACATGGGATGGTGAAAAAAGATATATTTTACATCTCTTCAAGGTTTCGTGGCTTCATTAGACCTTAGGCGAGATTTCTCTTCACCGACCACACATGTTGCTCAATCTCGAACATCCATTCATCTAGGTTCACCATACCGAAGCGGATGTATATGTTCTTGAAAACCCCATTTCAAAGGAAGTCACTATGCCGAATAGCAGGTGTATATGTTCTTGAAACACCCATTTCAAAGAAAGTCACCCGAGACACTCGGCTCAGCACGCTCAATCTCGCTGTGACACACATATGTGCCACATGATAGCATAACCAATGGTTTACAACAAAACCTAGAGGTCGATCATTGATCCAATTTGATTACCTCCACAAGATAGGCCTCAACAAAAAAAACTGAAGAATTGCTTAATTGATCACACCCTTCTAAGAAATGCTCCATGCTTCATTCACCTCTCCAATCATTCGTAAAGCACAAGTCCGCTTTGACCCATTTCAACTAGTGTGTATTTATTAGGAAGAAAGTCTAACCCTACTTGACTAACGTCTCGCACGGACTATTAGGAGACGAGAGAAAAAGGAAAAACAAGCAAGGATAGAAACTAAAAGTCATTTATTTGAGTTGCAGACATTATGTCTTTCATTTACACCATTTCCTTGAACTAAATAGAAAAAAGTAAATCAAAAAACACACTATTCTAGGAAATGGCAAACTTTTCTTAGAAAAACAAAACAAATCCATCTCTACTCCTCTTTACTTTCTTAGTCAGAATAATCCACTTTTCTTCTACCTATTAGAAACCAGAAACAAACACATAAAATCTGTCGTAAACTAAACCGATTGTGGGGGAAAAAATGTAGTAGTCTTGTATCTTCTTATTCTATCAACATCTTCATCTATAAACTCGGTTCGAATTCACCTCCTCGTCGAAGCTGCAAACGGGCTCTCCGGTAGATCAACCTCCTGTGTTGTGCTGCAAAACCACAGTGTCATCACATTGCTTAGCAAACAGCATTGTAAACCACAAATCACATAGCCTTTTTAACAAACCTATCATCATCAGCTTGGTCAGTCAATGAAGGTAACTGTTCATGCTGCTGCTGATCAGTGGATAACAGGTCTGGCCCTTCTGCATTGCCTAAACACAATGCCATAAGCAAAACAGTCCACAACCAAACCCAAACAGATCATAGTCTCGTATGATAATAACGATTTAGTTTTTGAAAATTAAGCTTCGAAACCTGATGAATGTGTCCATTCGTTTGTTGAATTCACCAATGACAAAAGAAGCTCAGAGCGTTGTCGCTGTAGCTCATTTTCATCAATCAGAATCCTTGTCAGTGAATCATTAGTGGCTCTTGGCACTGCAAGTAATTTGAGCATATGGTTTAAACATGCAAGAAAAGAGGTTCCCAAACAACCAAAATGACACTATTTTTCCTTACTAGAATTGGCTTCTTCCATGTTTCCTTCACTGTTATTTTCAGCATTATTTCTGTACAAACATCAAAACATGTTGTAGGTTCAAATTTTCACAAAATAACCAGCCTTCCCTTCTCAAAATGCTGTTAAAATTACCTCTGTATAAGCCTAGACTTCTCCTTGTAAGGCTTAACAAGAACTTGAGCACCACAGACAAAATGAGTAGTCCTGATTGAGAGAACATGTCTGGCTGTCTCAGCATAAACGAATGTTACAAATCCATACATCCTGGTCTGTTGGTATGGTATCTTAACATCTTGAACAGGTCCATATTTGCTTAAAGAACAGCATAAATTCAGTAAATAAACACACCCAAGATCAACAAGATTCATATAAAATTTTCACATTCTTACTCGAAGTAGCTTGAAACATCCTGTTCTGTGAAAGTACTAGCAGCTGGAAATGTAATGTAAATCTGTCGAGCAATGTTTTCAGAGGAATCTATGTACTTTCCAATATCCTCGACCAAGATTAACGAATGTTGCCCATGTGGCCTAAAAGAAACCCTAAATTTAGAGATGAAACAAACAAAGAAGCCATGAAATTACAAACAAGAAACGGAGAATTAACCTGTCAAGAACACAAATGGAGTTCAAACTAGAGAGAAGTCTAGTGAGGCTAAAACAAGCCCTCCCAAATCCACGGCCTTCAGTAAGATACCCGTCGGCTTGAAGATTCTTGCCGTAGAAATCATAATAAACCATCGGCAAAGACGCGATTGAAATCGGACTCCCTCGACGGGATTTCAGAAGCCCAACGATTTCCATTTCCAGGTTTTCAAGCGCCTTACCACGAAGGATAACTCGCTGCTCGTGATTCGCATTCGCCGCCTTAACTTGCCCGTGGAAATACCTGCATTTACTCCCGTGCTTACAATATCCTTTGCTGAAATAGTGACAAATCTTAAACGGAAACCCCCGCAGCCCAACCGGATTCACCGAATCGAATTGATCCTCCAGGGAAAGAAACCGCATAGGGTTTTGAATGTCCAAATCGGAGTAGGACTCGGAGGGGAATAATCGAGAGGAAGGGTCGCGGCGGTACACGGATAAGGGAAAATAGGGGTCGGAAATCGAAACAGGGGATAGCGCAGAGGACACCATTTCAGTGATTCCTAGGTCGGATTTGGCGTCTTCGATGAAAGATTGAAGAACAGTATCAGGACAGAAGGCCAATCGGATCATATCGCGATCGTCTGTGTTTAGAATAATGTACTCGATGATCGTGGTCGCACATTCCGCATCCATTTCGCAGATTCTTTGAAACAATAAATTTGTTGGCTCTGGTAATTCCATTTTGCTCCGTAAATCCTAAACGGAAGAACAAACAGGAAATTGAGGATTCAAGAAACAAGCGATCTGTTACTTGATGATCTTGTTTCTGTGTTAAGCTTATACGAATCTGTTCTTCACACTGAGAACGACGCCATTGTTATATAGACAGCAAGATGACAGAGGGGATTGGATTTTCTTCAAATTAATTTAATTATTTATTTATTTATATATAATAATCACAAAATTTAAATACGACGACCACTTCCCCACTCTCTTAAAAATCGTATTTTTCGGTAAATGATTGGTCAATTTAAAATAAACGATTTATTTATTTATTTATTTTCTTCTTTTAAAATTACGGGTCGTTATACAAAATCGCGGTAAATTATGAGAAATGCGCCTGTATTTCCGAAAACAGAAACCCATTGAAAAGACTAAACTGCCCTTATATCTCATTTTTTAAAAATAAATAAATGAATAAATCACACGTGTGACCTGTGGAAAAAAAATAATTTAACGCACCGTTTGTTATAAGTGGGTCCCACTCTGATCAACGGTTTTATCCTTGGCAAGTGGGTCCCATTTCTTGTCAGTCATCTATTATTTATTATTTTCTCAGCCAATAAAATATGAAATTCGGTAAAATCGAAGGGTAAAGTAGGTATTACGCAGGGTAAATAAGTCAACTTATTGAGATTCACGAGCTATTCAAACGGCAGGAGGGATTACCGGTTACCGTTAAAGTTAATATATATAATATTTGAGAAGTGTTAAAAGAACAATAAAAAATAAAAAATAAAAAAATTCTAATATCAATAATGAGTTATAAAAAAATTAAATTAAATTAATAAAAATATCCTAAATTTTGTATTTTATGTAAAAAAAAGACTCTTTTAACCTTTCAAAAATTTCAATAATATTTGAAGGGAGTAAAAAAAAAAAAATCATTATCATTAATTTTGACATTAATCTTTATTACAAAAATTTGAAAAAAAATTTTACACTTGTCAGCACTTTTTATGGCAGCGGACTTGTGATTATGCGGCACTCACTTTCCAACGACAAGTGAGCTAAGCCAATTCGTTCTTGTATCGCCTACGGCCAAGCAACGTATGCTCGAGCCTCTGGCCTCGATTTTAAGATAAGATTTTAGAAAACGAGGGCAAAAAGAGGTTTTTATAACTTGGGTAGGGAGGATCGAAATTGTCTATCCACATGTTAATTTTGAAAGTCCATGATATATTTTTGAAACATGATATTAAGATATTTTAAAACTTTTAAAAAAAGTTTTAAAGATTTTTTTTTTTAATCTAAGGATTTTTTTTTTTCAAAAATATTATTAAAATTTAAAAGTTTAAAAAATATTTTCGAGGCGAAAATATTTTATTAATTTAGCGTAGGCCAGCTTGAACTTTGACGCCTCCTCTCTTATTATTTAAGAAAACAAAAAAAAAAGCATATATTGTCTAATTAATTAATAATTAAAGGAGTTGACATTATAAAGATAGGATAAGAACGCAATTAAAGAAATAGAGTTATATTTAGAGTCTTAATTATTAGAATAATACCGAGAAGGGATAATAATGTATTATTAATATAGACATTTTAATATTATTTGTGACCATCATCTCATTTTTAATAATAACATTATCTAATAATTTGGCATAAATGTATACTTTTTTTATTCACACGTGACACAATTTTAATAATTTGTTTTAGGTTAGAGAAAAAAATTATGGCAGTGAATATAAATAATAAAATGGGCCCATCAAATATAAATTCGCAAGGACAGCCCAAAATGGATTGTATTGGGCTGTCTTTGTTCGGCTACTTATAAACTTGCGGGGAAGGTGGGTGGAGGCAATTCTGTCGATAATCTTATCTGTTGAGTGTCTTACAGAATTTCATTGATCATCTGAATAGCGAGCGAAACAAGCCACGGAAGATGTATGATGAAATGGATTGGACGATTCAGGAAATGGAGGTGACTCGGTATCTGACTCTCATACCATTTACAGCCGTTCAAGCCCAAGGTCACGAAAGATATTGTCTCTTTCCCTTTGGGCTTTGAGAGGTTTCCACACCTTTCTCTCAATGTTTCGTTGCTCTCTCCAATGGAGGTGATATCTAACAAAAACAAACAAACAAAAAAAAAAAAAGTTGAGCTGTATTTGTTTGTCGAGATCAAGTTTTTGTCTCCTTCCCCATCTAAAGCATAGCTTAAAGTAGTCTACGCTTCCCTTCTCATGTAATCCACTGTTTGCTACTACTTTCTGTCGTTAAATTTATAGACAGACTTGCTCTGTTCATATAGACAGACTTGCTCTGTTTGTATAGAGTAATTGATGTGTGCTGAGATGCTAGAAGCTGGATGGAGTAGATCTGTTCATATAGACAGGCTTGCTCTATTCGTATAGAGTAATTGATGTGTGCTGAGATGCTAGAAGCTGGATGGAGTAGCTCTGTCTATATAGACAGGCTTGCTCTGTTCAGCTGGAGTATTTGATATGTGCTGAGACGATGGAATTGAAGAAGACATGGCATGGTTGGAAGAAGAGGATTTACCTCCTTGCATACTTTTTCTTGGAATTTTCCACTACCGAATTCATATAGTTTGATTATTAAATTGATGTAGATTCGTTATATGATTGTCCAGACCCATTTGAGAAGAACGAGAGAGGAGAACAGGGGATTCAAAGTGACAAGACACCGAGATCACGTGACCCTTACCTGTTTGATGTTGGAATGCATTATATAGTAGCATTACGGGGTCATCGACTGCACCTAGAATTCCTTTTATCGACTGCACCTAGAATTCCTTTTTAAGATTTAATTCAATCGTTCATAATATAAATTTTTCGATCAAAACAACTCTTATTAAATAATGAATTCAACAACCTCACATGATTAGATATGAAATATTTGGGTTGTTTTACCACCTCCGCAATAAAATATAAGATAAAAACATCGTTTCGAGCAACAATGGGGAGTGAAGCAACGACAAATGCTAGAGGGATGGTTGTTCTCGTAACTAATGAATGTTCTTTCTAATTGAAAGAGATTTAGCAAGAAAAGTACTTGATTCGACTCTATTAGAGAGAGGGTCCACATGGGAATGTTTGGTCGGTTTTTCAACTGCTCCAATTTTTTCTTTACTTTATGGCTTTTGTCTATTAGCCAAGGTGAACATGTGGGTCCTGCATTTCTGAAATTGAGTGAATCAGATGCCCAAAAAATCACAAGTTCAACTTGGTGATTGGAACAGAATCTAATAAATAATAGCCACATTCCATGGCATATTGGGATAACAAGCTGAAATACTAACCTTTCAGATCATGGAAGAAGAGGAAAGTTCACCTGAAACAATGGGAAATAAAAGAAGAAATGGAAGAAAGAAAGTTTCTATTCTATCTTCTACGTTCCAATTCTTGGAAGAAGATGATCCAACAATGTCGTTTGTCTTCCATGTGAGCTTGCGAAGAGGCCTGTGCAGACCCACCCCGATGTGAGTGCCGGAGATATTAAGACAATCAATTCAATGTACAAACATTAAGTAGTGTCCAGTGGGAGCTCCAAAGCTCCTAAGAGGACAAGGACTGTCCTAAACTAGAGGAGAAAACATGAATTGACTAACATACAGGCATAATGAACACATAAAACTTGTACAATTTGCAACAAGATCTTGGTTGCTTCATTGTTTTTCCTCAATTGGATCGCCATACTGAACACATAAAGCTTGTATATATAAACACAGTTCTAAACAAAAGAGGGGGGGAAAAAGCAATATCGACTGATTCAATTTTTTTAGAAAAGGTAAACTAATATGTTTCTTCCCACCTTTATATTCTTCACGCATAAAAGGAAATACATGAGGACGTACAAATAAGATGGTCTTGTTTCTATGGTTCCAGCTTCAAGGAAACAACTCGACATTGTCTGTTACGCTTAGCCACCTTGAGAAACACCATAGAGAGGCACGACGGTGCCCACCATGGTCGACGTACCTTTTGCTCCCCTTTCAAGCAAGCCACTGGAAGTACATACTTAAACAATAAACAGCATGATCTTAATGTTAACTGGAAAAGCAGACATGTACATAGTTAGGGTAGGTTGTTTTTGAAATGGTGATTCTGAAAATTTTAATGTTTCAAAAGCATAGTTAAAGCATGCATACATATCAGTTTACAGCCTTGGAATTCAAAAAAAAAAAAATTAAATGTGATTTTGAAATTTCTTAAAAGCACCTTAAAATAGACTAATGCTTTGGTTTGGTGTCTGTTTCTTTAGTTAGCGTTTGAACTCCTTTTCCATAGACTCGTCTTCTTATATGTCCTTGTACATTCTTTCATTTTCGTTTCTCTTGAAAAAAGCTAAGTTTCTCCCCCAAAGATGCGATTTAAAGGAACAAAAAGGTGTAGGGTGCCTACCCTCAAAAGTAATCTCAAACCCCCTGTTAGCATAACATTGGGTGCGTGCATCAATTTCTCGACTATCGCTATCAGAAACATGCTAATGACAGCACGGGAGGTTGCAAATGAATCAAACGAGGAGTTAAATAGTTGACTCTAGACCTCCAAACTTTTAAAGACAAACACAGACTGCTTCAAAAGGAGGGAAAGAAAAAGAAAAGGTAAGAGACATTGAAGAAGGTTTCAGAAAAAGGCTAACTCTAACTCCAGTGTAAAATATACCCATTCGCTTGCATTTAGCTAAGATTTGGTGCATTTAGTTTTTTTTTTTTTTAATTTAATTCATTATAATCATATTCAGGAGTTTCTGAAATGGAAGTAGCAGCAAGACAACCCTGAATTGTTTTTCCCTAAAAAAGATTGAATTAAAAAGATAAGAAAAGTTGCCTCGCGCACAGACCTTTAATTCGTCGGAGTTCCTTACAAAGTGTAATAAAGTCTCCCCATTTCATATGGCATCGTCTGATAAACCTTAGAATCTGTTCAGTTGTGAACATTGACATGCCTTCAAGATACTCCCCATTGACCCCATTTTCTTTAAAAATCTGGCGATAGCTTCCAAGACTTATTTCTTCCAACCACAAACCAACATCCTGGAAAAAAATTTTAAAAAAAAAAACGTTATAATCGGCATAAAGGAGGCATATTATAAATCAAATTTCATTCAAT